TCAGCAAATGAGGGTCCCGAAAGCTTGACTCCATCCATGTCATTAAGGTTGACTCTACTTTGAGGATGCAGCTCTTCCCCAGTTGTCTTTTGAGTGCCTTCCAACCTGAGGGGCTCATCTTCCGGCAGTCTATCAGACAATGTTCCACTGCTATTCATAAGGTTTTCACTGGCTAATTCTTTTCAGAAGTAGACCACTGGGTCCTTCTTCCTAGTCTGTCTTAGTCTGGAAACTCAGCTAAAACCTGTCTGCCATGGGTGACCCTGCTGGTATTTGAATACTGGTGGCATAGCTTCCAGCATCACAGCAACACACAATCCCCTACAGTATGACAAACTGACAGACGCATGGGGGACGACTGAGCGGGACCATGCAATGATTGAGTGGGACCATGCAAATAAGGTGTATGGAACCTGTGATGGTTGGGATGTGTGTCAACTTGGCTAAGCCATATTTCTCAGAATTGTGTGGTTGTCCTCCATTTTGTGATCTGATGTAATTATCTTCATTTTGTGATGTGTTGTAAATCCTGACCTCTGTGTGTTAATGGGTGAAGAATATTGGATGTACCAGGGATGCCAGAAGAATGAACAAGTCTATCTTGGAGGAAGTACAGCCAGAATGCTCCTTAGAAATGAGGATAGCGAGACTCATCTCACATACTTTGGACATGCCATCAGGAGGGATGAGTCCCTGGAGAACGACATCAGGCTTGGTAAAGTATAGGGTCAGCGAAAGAGAGGAAGCCTCTCAATAAGATGGACTGACACAATGGCTGCAACGATGGGCTCAGGCATAGCAATGATTGTGAGGATGGCACAGGACCAGGCAGTGTTTCATTCTGTTGTACATGGGGTTGTTATGAGTTGGAGCAAATTCGTAGGTGCCTAACAACGTGTGTTAATGAGGCAGGATTAGGTTATGTTTGTTATGTTAACGAGGCAAGATTAGGGTGGGATACATCACCCTTACTCTAGTCACCACCTTACCCAAGTCACCAGCCTTGCTTGAGTCACACCTTTTATCTTAAAAGAGATAAAGGGAGAGAGAAGTGAGCAGAGAGAGCGGGATCTGACTACCACCAAGAAAGAAGGGCCAGGAGTGGAGTGCATCTTTTGGACCCAGGATCCCTGCACTGAGAACCTCCTAGACTCAGGAGACAGAGACAGAGAGAGCCGTAACACCAGGAATGGTGACAGACAACAAGAAGCAGTGGCAGAGAAATGGCGGCAGCAGAGGCAGTAGAACCAGGAGACCAGCAGGAGATGACACGGTGGGATTCCTGGCCCATGGGGCAAGAAAGCTGAGCGCCTTCAGGCAGGAAGCTTGCACGTGGAGTGGGGTGCCTCTGGACACTTGTTGGAGCCAGGCGCACTGACCCATGGAGCGAGAGAAAGCTGAGAGCTTTTGGGCAGGAGTTCCTGGCAGAAGAAGCAAGAGAGCTGAGCCCCTTTGGGTTGAGGCTTGCTGGCTGAGTGGGGTGCCCCTGGGCACTTACTGGTGGAGCTAAAGAGCTCTGTAACACTTGCCAAAGCAGGGCAGAGATCAGGCTGGTAAGGCCCAAGGGGTCAAGGGCCAAGAGGCCAACGGCCAGGGAGAGTCCTGCCTGCTGGCACAGCTGAGAAGCTGTCCTGACCAAAGAACTGTATCCTGAGTCTTTCCTGATCCTGAATTGTAACCTGTTACTTCCTTAATAAACTCCATAATTTTGAGTATTGTCTTATGAGTTCTGTGTGGCCATTGCAATGAATTATTAAACACAGCAGAGAAGTAGAAAGTGCTGTGGGAGGGACGGTTGGTGTCAGAATTGGTAAAAAAGTTGGAGAGAGGGGGCATGTCTGACCTCTGCCTCATAGGAATCAGCCTTTGGCTGTTGATCTTGATTCTCATTCCACCTTGTGAAATTAGAGGTCAGAGGCCACCGCCATGCCATTTTCACAAGTTGTCAGGTCAAGTAAGCTTATACTATTGCTCACGTCTTCTATATACTTAATGATTTTCTATCCAGGTGTTCTATCTATAATAGAAAGTGGAATACTGACATTTCTAACTATTATTGTTGAATTGTCTATTTCTCTCCTCAGTTCTATCAGTTTTTGCTTCATGTGTTTTAGGGCTCTGTTGTTAGATGCTTATATGTTTGTAATCATTATATCTTCCTGATGGATTGACACTTTTATTATGTTAACATGTCCCTCATTTTATCTAGTGACTTTTTTATCTTAAAATCTATTTTCATCAGATATTACTATAGCCACTCCAGTTCTCTTATGGTTACAGTTTGCATAGTATATCTATCTTTTTACTTTCAATCTATTTGTGTCTGAATCTTTAGTGTGTCTCTTATAGAGAGCATAAAGTGGGATCTAGTTTTTAAATTAATCCAGTTGTAGAATCTCTGCCTCTTGATTGCAATGCTTAATCCATTCACATTTAATGTTATTTTTGATATGCTTAATTTATGTCTGTCATCTTTCTTTTCATTTTTTATGTCTCGTCTTTTTTGTTCCTCTGCTCCTTCTTTACTGTCTTCCTTTCTACTAAGTAGATATTTTGTGGTGAACCACACTTTGTTGATTTTTTTAATTATATTTTTTAGTTATTTTTATAGTAATTATTTACAGTGGTTTCTCTAAGTATTACAATATACACCTTAACTTATCACAATCAACTTCAGATAAATACTAGTTTAATTTTAGTAAGCACAGAAACTTTGCTCCAATATAGCTTTATTACCTCTCCCCTTCTTTGTGCTACTATTATCATATATATTACATACAAGTGTTATAAGCCCAACAATATAGTTTTATAATTGTTCCTTTATACAATTTTATGTCTTTTAAAGAAGTTAAGAAAAGAAAGGAGAAAAATATATTTAATGAAGTCTTTTATATTAAATTTCTTTCTTAGCATTTCTGGTACTCTTCATTCCTTGTGAATTTGAGTTACTACCTGATGTCATTTCCTTGCTCCAGTATAGTTCCATTTCGTTCCTCATCCGTTATCTTATTTCATGCACACACACACACACTCCTCACTTATCAATATGGTTAGTTTCCAAAGACCAGGTCGTTAAGCAAAAATCGGCGTTATGTGAAAATAGAAAATGACCACATCAGATCACAAAATGGAAGAAGACTACATCATTACATAACTGCCAAATTACATCATTACATAACTGCCAAACCACTGAGAAACATGGTCCAGCCAAGCTGACACACAACCTTAACCATCACAGCAAGCGTTACTCTCACCTCACACCTTGGGCGTTCATGACTGCCAGAAATACGTTGTTAATGCGCAAAATAGTCGGATAGTAGATTGTTGTAAATGTGAGATGGAGAATGAGATAGTCGATCAGCGAGGAGTAGGGGTGTGTGTGTGTGTAAGCTGCCTCTATTATCTAGGAAAATAATTACTAGAATGTAATATTCATGAAGAAATCATTGGGCGGTGCAAACGGTTAAAGCACTTGTCTGCTAACTGAAAGGTTGGAGGTTCAAGTCCACCCAGAGGCACCTCAGAAAATCAGCCATTGAAACCCTATGGAGCACAGTTCTACTCTGACACACAAGGAGTCACTGTTACCATGAGTCACAATAGACAGTAACCGAAATATCCATGAAGGAGGGTATTGATGGTCTAGTTGTAGAATTCTAGCCTTCCATTGGAGCCCTGGTGGTTAAGAGCTTGGCTGCTAACCAAAAGGTCAGCAGGTGAAATCTATTAGCCTCTCCTTGAAAACCCTGTGGGGCAGTTCTACTCTGTACTATAGGGTCGCTGTAAGTTGGAAATGACTGGATGGCAATGGGTTTGGTTTTTTTGTATACAAGAGACTCAGGTTCCATTCCTGGCCAATGCACCTCATATGCAGTCACCACCTGTCTGTCAGTAGATGTTTGCATGTTGCTATGATGCTGAACAGGTTTCAGCAGAACTTCCAGGGTAAGACAGACTAGGAAGAAAGGCCTGGTGATCTATTTCTGAAAATCAGCCAATAAAAACCCTATGGATCACAACGGTTCAATTCACAACTGATCATGGGGATGGCAGAGGACCAGGCAGCTTTTCATTCTGTTGTGCATGGGGTCACCTGAATTGGTGGTTGACTCAATGGCAGATAACAACAACAATGTCCATGAAAGCACTGGAGACTCCAGATCCAGCAGAGGCCTGGAGCACTAATCAAGGAGCTAAGGCAAATTATGTTTCTGGGGACCGCCATAGAGATGCCTCTCATCTCAGCAGATCTCTAGTCCAGTATTGTCAGAATGGTCTCCTTAGACATTTCCTCATAGCCCTTGTGCCTGGGAAGAGGGGTGCAATTTCCAAGGATCTTATTCTTCAGCTTTTTCTTTTGAAAAAACATTTTTATTAGGAAATTTCAAATATATATTGTAAAACACCGGTAGTAGTCCCAGTAGCATCAGACCTCGTCTGACTTCGGGAGGAGGAGAGAGAGAAATGAGAATCACCATCAGTACAAAGCCGATTCCTGTGAGGTGGTGCTCAGACATACTTCCACTCTCTAAATTTTTTACCAATTCTAACAACAGCCATCCTCCCCATGGCACTCTCTACTTCCCTGCTGGGTTCAATAATTCATTGCAATGACCACACAGAACTCACAGACCATACTTACAGTTAAGTAGTTTATTAATGAAGTAACAGGGTACAACTTGGGATCAGGATCAAGAAGCATGTAGGCAAATTCTCCCTTCTTCAGAGCAGGACAGCTCTCTCAGCTCCTCTTGGCAGCTCCTCTTGCAAGCAAGCAGGCCCTTCTCTCTGCTGTGCACGCCCCCTCTCGGCCATGCAGGCCTCCTCTCAGCCACCTCAGGACAGGCTCTTCTCAGCCCTGCCATCTGTCGCCACCAGCTCTGCCATCGGGCCCCTTCTGGGCCTCTTGCTGTCTTCAGTATTACAGCCTTTGACCAGTGTTACAGCTCTTTCAGGAGGTGCCTTGCTGCTTCTCTCTCTGCTTCTTCTCTCATCTCTCTTGCCTTTGCTCCTTTCTGCTTCTTCCTGCTTCCTGTCTGAAAAATCTTTGTGGGGTTGGCTGCATACACAAACAAATTCCTTGTCAGTTTTAAGGCATGGCCCTCCCCTTAGGGCCACAAACTGACCAATCCCCTCTCAGTAGGTCACAGACACTTATTTGCATAGTAGGCTATAGTCACTTCATTTGCATGGTCTATAGACCAATCCCTGTAAGGTGCATACCAATCACAGGACAGGCTGCAGCCCAAACCAAAAAAAGCCAAACTCATTGCTCTGGAGTCAATTGCTACTCATAGCGACCCTATAGGACAGAGTAGAACTGCCCCATAGGACTTCCAACCAGCAGCTGGTGGATTTGAACTGCCAATCTTTTGGTTAGCAGCCAAGCTCTTAACCACTGTGCCACCAGGACCCCAGGTTGCAGCCCAGAGCCCTGTGAAAAGTAATCAAACCAAGTTGTTTGCAGCTTACCCAGGAAATGTAACAAACCCTCTAGGATAGAAAATTAGGGCACAGTAACTCCTCAGCGCTTGGGTCCTTTGCTTTAGGGTTTCTCACAAGGCTGCAATCAAAGTGTTGGCCAGGGTTGGAGCCTCATCTGATGGCTTGATGAGTAGGCAAGAATCTGCTTCCAAGCTCATTAACATAGTTGCTGGCAGGATTTAGTTCCTTGAAGATTGTTGGATTGAGGGCCTCAGTTCCCCACTGGCTGTTAGATGGAGACCACTCCGTTTTTTACCTCTCCAGCATGGCCTCTTGCTTCATCCAAGCCAGTAGAAAACCTGCAATCAAGATGAAAGTTTAGCTTTTATAGCCTACTTACAGAAGTGTTATCACTTCACCCTTGCCATATTCTGTTGGTTAGAAGCAGGTCACTAGATCCCGCTCACACTGGATTTCCAAGGTGTGAATACAAGGAGGTGGGGTCACTGGGGCCACCTTAGAAATCTGCTCACTGCATCCTGTAAATAGCTAACATCCAAACCCAGAATGCTTGGCGCCTAAGAGTTTGTGTGCTGCTCCATTGAGAAGGCTGCCCTCACACTTGCCACATAAGGGAGAGCAATACTGTGGCAGTATCCCACCACCGGCACATACTGCCACCCTGCATGTCCAGTAGGGTGTCCAGTTTGCTCCTCTATGGGGTAATAGGACTGGGAACTCATGCTTTGTCTTTACTTGCTGACAATGAATTGAACGTTTTCCAGTAAAGCCTGCTTCTTCACCCACACCATGCAACGTTATGGCTTTCATCCTGCGCCCTAGTGAACAACAGGAAGTGATTCCACAGGGACCTGCCTTAGATGACAACCTTGCACCTGGTTTTCCTTTCTCAGCCCAGCCTCTCCTCTTTGCCTCACAATTCCAGTTTCACCCCTGAACACTACCTTTTTGGTTATTTCATGACCCCGTCTGCAGCTTGAGGGACAGATTCTTCCCAGCCTTTGCCAACCACTGACTTCTGGGACCCATCCTGAGTGCAAGAAGTCTAGGAGGGCAGCTCTGATATTCTTAATCAGCTTTCCTCCACACCAACACACCTTTGAGACAGATCAACACGCAGACATATATATACATACATACATGCAATTTCTTGTGGAGACGAGTAGCTATAGTCTCATATACACCAACACACATATGTATGTAACAATATATACATTAATCAATCTTCATTGGTTCCTCACACCCACTGTTATGACCTTATAGTAAGAGTGGATAAAATCTCCAGCTTTGGAATCAGGCTGTGTATGAGTTTCCTAGGGCTGCCATAACAAAGTACTACAAACTGAGTGACTTAACAGAAATTTATTCTCTCACAGTTTTGTAGGCTACAAGCTTGAAATCAAGGTGTGGGCAGGGCCGTGCTCCCTCCAAAGGCTCTAAGGAATTCTTCCTTGCTTCATTCTAGCTTCTGGTGGTTGCCAGCAATTCTTGGCATTCCTTGGCTTGTAGATGCATCACTCCAATCTCTGCCTCTGTCTTCACCTGGCCGTCGTCCTTTATGTATGTCTCTGCTTTATCTTCTTTTAAGGACACCACTTATTGGATTAAGGCCCACCTTAACTTAGTTAATTACATTTGTGTGATAGTTAAGGTTGTGTGTCAACATGGCTAGGCCATGATTCTCAGTGCTTTGGCAGTTATGATGCCATTTGGCAGCTATGTAATGATGTAATCACCTCCAGTATGAGATCTGATATAATGTAATCACCTCCATGATGAGATCTCTTACGAGCAGCCAATCAGTTGAAAGGGAGTTTACTTGGGGGTGTGGCCTGCAGCCAATATACGTGGACTTTCTGGCAAATCTTGTGGGCTTTTGCTCGCTCTGGATCCTGCATTTGGCTCCTGTTCATCTGACTTCTGGTTCTTGAGACTTGAGCTAGCAGCTTACCTGTTGATCTTGAGATTCATCAGCCTTCACAGCCTGTGAGCCAGTGGCCTGCTGGCTTACCTGCCCATTTTGGGTTTGTCAGCCCCTGCAGCTACGTGAGTCAGAAGCCTCCAGCCTGACCCATGGACTTGGGACTTTCCAGCTTCTACAACCTCTATTTCCTGATATAAATCTCTTCTCTCTCTCTCTCTATACATATATATATACTGGTTTTTGCTTTACTGGTTTTACGTCTCTAGAGAACCCAGCCTAAGACAGTTTGCAAAGACCCCATTTCCAAATAAGATCACATTCTGAGGTATCAGGTGGACATGAATTTTTTTTGTGGGGAGGGGCACTATTCAATCCAGTACAAGCTGTCCAAGTCCCACTCTCAGCCTAGATTCTTACTAGTTGTGTGCTCTTGGGAAATTACATAACCTTCTTTAGTCAATGGTTCACTAGTTCACCTATAGAATGGGGTGATAACTGTTCCTACCTCATAGGGATACTGTGATGATTAAATGCACACAAAGCATTATAGTACCTGGAAGGCAATGAGCATAGATGTTTACTGATATCAACTCATTTATTCTTCACAACAACCCGAAGAGTAGGTACTACTATTCTAAGGTGGGGAAACTGAGAAACGTGACTAGGGCAATTAAGGAACTGAACATAGAATACACACCGGGTTTCAAAGGCTTAGCATGAAAAAAAGAATGTAAAAATAACTCATTAATCATTTTTTTTTATATTGAGTAGATGTTGGGATGATAATGAGTAAATAAAATGTATTTTTTAAATCATTTTTTCACCTAATTCTTTTTATGTTCTTAATACGGCTACTGGAAAATTTTAAAATACACTTTTGGTTTGGTTTCTATTTCTATTGGAGGGCACTGATCTAGATAACCAACCTAAGTCACCCACACCCTGTCCACATCCTGTTTTTCTTAGTGTAAAATAACTGGCACTGAAAGAATCTGGTAAACTTCATTCTTGCACGCAGCACTTGATAACAGCTAGCTGAAGATTATAGCCTAACAATTAATATCCAGGCCACCTCATCTGACTTTAGAAATAAAATGAAGGCAATTTCTCTTTTTCATTCATACTCAATTTATTCCTGTTCATTCAGTTGAAAGGAATAAGGGAAAAATGGACCACTCACAAGAGCCACACATTAGAATTAAGAGTCCTACTTCATGAGGACCCTTATCACTGTAATTTCTAAACGTGCCCAAACCTAACCAGCTCAACTCTTAAATGTTCAAAGTCATAGTCTATTTTGGATGAATGTAATCAATGTTATTGAACTGTACACACAGAAACTGCTGAATTGGTGTATGCTTTGCTGTATATATTCTCAACAATAACAAAAATAGTTTTTTACAAAAAGTCATAGTATATTAACTAATGTTCATATATCCCTTTATGGTTTCTCTTATACACTGGTATTCAGCCAGTATGTACCAGTATAGTCATACTAATAAAAAAAAAGAATACTATGAATTCTAGCAAACTCATTAGCTATGTGTCTTAGGCTATCACAATGATCATCAATAGATGGACCTCCTGTCATTACAACATCCGAGGCACATTTGGGGCACTACCTGTCAGTTCTGCCATGTCAGAACAAGCGGAGTGGCTGGGTTGTGCATTCTTCACTCTGAGATTGAGGAAAATCATCAGTTTATCATTGTCCTCAGATTGGCATAACTTCTAAAGAGTTTGTTTTTTCCTTTGTTCTTATTGTTAGTGTGTTGTTATTCATGCATAAATAATAACTGTGCAGTGTTCTGATATCCATAAATTCAAGAACTTAAAATATAATATTAAGATAAACAGCAAGAATGGAGCAATAGTGAAGTTTGTATACATTTTTAACATTGTTTTTAAATATTATAAACATGAATCTTCTGAATCTGAGAGGGAACACAGAAGCAATAATATTAATAGTAAATTGCATCCTGGAACATCTTCTGATTTTGTGCAAAAATTATAACAAGTAGGAAGAATCAGTCCAAAAGTGACAATAATTTGCATTTCTAAAATTTAAAAATGCCCCAATAATTTCGACAAAACTTGCAGGTGGCTTATTATTGCTAGCAGTGTAAATATTGCATGTAAATGATTCTCAAAAGCTGTATCATGAAAGGTTGAAAGTGCTAAGCACATTTTGTCAGCACTCAAAATTCAGTGCAAAAAGTTAGCAATAATCAAGGATAAAAATTTGAAGAATGTCATGAACTACTAGCTTTGCACAATAAAGTACCTGAAATAATTGGAACTACTGAAATAATTTATATCCGTGTTGATAAAGCCAACAAAACATTGAAAAACTGCCATCAGAATTTTAATACTATCTATTGTGTAATTAAATAGAGCATTTCACATATTAAATAGAGGCTTTTAAAAAGAATATAGATAGTGCATATATTGCAATCTCAATTAATGGTTCTCTTGGTTGCAAAATATATATCTACCATAAGGAGACAACTTTGTGGAAAAATTATAAATCAAGGCAACAAATCATTATCAATGAAGCTTCAGCTATTTCCTGAAAATGTGTTTTAATCAGTTACTAAAATACTAAATCTAAAACTTATAAGACCATTTCATAGTTTTTGTTGACTCAAGAACCTCAAATAATATGTCAAACTTAGTCATCAATGCTCAAGAAAAATAGTTTCAATGTGAAATTGTTATATGTGCCACAGAAAAAGCCCAAGGTCTTAGCTAAAATTTTAGAAAAATTTCCAGATGTTTTAATTCAGTACTAAGTCACTGTTTTCAATGACTTCAGGGTGATGCAATAAAATATTTAAGTCAAATAAACAGCTTTATGTATTTGCTCCAATAAACTTTAAATTCAGTACCATATATTAAATAAACATCTGGGAAAATTAAATAATATATCTAAGAGGTTGGAATTGAAATCATGAAACTAGGAAGGATATTTGTGCACCCTGTGGTGCTAGGCCAGCAAAAGCATTTAGGAAATTGTATCAAACATTTTATAGTCACTCTAATAGAAACTGTGAAATGGGAATAGTTAAATGTTGGAAAATAGCCTTTTTTCAGAGATTTGGTTTAATATGTTCTAAACAGAGACGTCAATACTATCTTTAGCCTTACCACAGAGAAATGTTTAATTATTAAAGAAGCTGGATTAATTTGACAAAAATAAGAATCAGCATATAAAAGTAAACAAAGAAGAAAAAAGACAATATTATTTTTAAAAAATATACCTTTGAAAGAAAAATATCAATTCCATGAGAAAAAAAAACAGCTAAAGTATCTAATAATTTATGATTGCAATTGTAGCGATGACAAAAGTGAAAAACATAAAGAACTTTTAAGTTTTTTAAAATTTAATCAATCCTGAACGATGTTTATAAACTCTGTAGAAACTGAGGCCACTAATTAAACATGGCATTATAGTAATAAATGAGTTTTGTGACTTAGTGGACAACAGAGACATCAAGTATATAAGAATCTCAGACACTATTACAAGGGCTAAAAATCTTTTATGTAACTGCTGTAACGAGAAATGAATTTAGCACCAGGAACAACACAGTTGATGTTACATGATGTTATCCAAAAGACAATTTAATGGGGAAGCCACTGGAAGTTTTTTATGTAGCTCCCTTGTCAAACCATGGCTCACACAGGTACATCACGTAGCTAAAGACAAGCTACATCAAAAAGACATGCCAAAATGTTCTAAAAATCAACAAATAATTTGGAAATTGTTAGAATGATTTGAGAAATGATGTATACTACAACTAATATCACTTGGCAAGAAGTTTTATAATAATTTAGAAAATTGAAAGAATATTCAGTTAAAATTTTTTTATTTATACATTGATTAATATTACTGCACTAGTTACCAAATATTTTGAATAAAAGACCTACTCTCACATATAGTTTGCTTATAGTAAGTATTGATTGAATGAACGTCTCACATAACAAGTAAGTGCTGATGACAATTCAAAGAAAAGCGTTGACGGAGTCTAACAGTTTGTACTCCATATTATCTATATGTTTAGAAACAGAAAGGATAAACACACAGAAGAATAGTGGAAGTCTTGTGATTTCTCATGCTTACTCTTCCCCATGTTTGAACTCCGCTGACTTCTCCACAAGCACATCTCCATTTGGGGATAAGATTCGGAAGACTGCATAATCGGTCTTCTTTTTTGTCTATTCATTCATGAAGTCGAATCCTTTGTTGGCTTTAGTTGCTACCACTAGCTCTGCTGCTGTGCTGCACTGAGGGCGCGGGGTGGGGGGGGAGGCGGGGAGCAAAATTTATGAAAACAGCCAGTTCCCTCGCCTTTTTGAATTGGAGTGGGGGAAGAGGCAAGGCGGGGGAAAGTTTCCTGAGTGCCTGACTCTGTAAGACATCCTGGCGCTATACAGAACAGAGACTTAGGGGAAAGAGAAATAAATCATTTCCTGACTGACTGCTGGGAAAAAGAAACTTTATTCTTCAGGCGGAATAGTCTTAACGAGCTCGAGAACAGGAAACAAAAGTGAAGGCGAAGCATTTTCTGCAAGAGAGCCAAAAGAGTACCATCAGCTCCCACCGCCAAGCGCTCCCTAGTCCTTGCAGGAGTCCCCTGTATCCCAGAACCTACTCCTCACCCTCGTTTCCCCGTCCTGCTTGAAAGAGGTCAGGAGCTATCAGAACAGCCTGGGGATCAGAAGAGAGTGTGCCCTGGTTGAACTAGTTGCAAGGTTCAGGAGGAAGTGTTCTCGGTGGAGAAGGACCCTTTCCCAGGGTTAACACAAATTACTTCTCTGAATCTTTGTCCAAAACGCTAGGAAGGATGGGGAAAAATGGAACAGCATCTATTTCAGTTTGTTAGGGGAAGCTTTTAACTTTTGTGTAAAGCTATTTTTTTCTTTCTGGGGTTCTCGCCATCTTCTCCCCACTAAACAGTCCGCGTTGCAACAAGTAGAGGCAAAAACACAGGCTTTTACTCCCACCCGCACCCCCCACCTTCCCTCTTCACCATGTATTGTGTTCAGGATGAATTCTCTTTGTATTAATTTTTGGAGGGAAAAAGGGCAGACAGGACCTGACTTGTATCTCAATCACATATCTATACATAACTACCCGTGAAGACAGGAGAATAGGGGAGGAATGGTGTGATGGTTAATATTGTGTGTCAACTTGGCTGGGCCATGATTCTCAGTGTTTATATGTGATCACTCCCATGATTGAATATGCTGTGAGTAGCCAATCAGTGGAAAGGGAGTTTCCTTGGGGGTGTGGCCTGCATCTGAATATAAGCAGACATTCTGGCCTTTTGCTTGCTCTGGATCCTGCAGCTGCCTCCTGTTCATCTGACTTCCGGTTCTTGGGACTTGAGCTGTCAGCTTATCTGCTGAACTTGGGATTCGTCGATCTTCACAGCCTGTGAGCAGGAGCCCTGCTCTCTGATCTGCCGATCTTGGGCTCGCCAGCTTCTGTGGCTGAATGAATTGGAAGAGGCATCTACCTTGATCCACGGACTTGGGACATCCTAGCCTCTACAATCACGTGAGTTGTTTCCTTGATATAAATCTCCGTACATATATATATATATGTGTGTGTCTGTGTGTGTATATATATATATTTATATGCTTTACTGGTTTTGCTTCTCTAGAGAACTCAGCCTAAGACAAATGGGAACAATCAATATTGTTCAATGGAGTTGAGAAAGGAGACAAAAGCATTTCCGTTCATTTTTCTCTTACCCAAATACGACTTTGACTTCAGCTTTCCCTCCAACCTTCCAAAGTAACCACAGCTACTCTTATTATGTCACAAGGAGCTACTTGCCATGACGAAGGCTTATGTGACTGGCGAGGCTTCATGCTATTAACTGAAATGGTTTCTCATGTTAGTTCTCAAAGCCATCTCTGGTCAGACTAGAAGATAATACAGGAAAGTATGATTATTATATTAGGTAGTGGGATTGCAGGTGAGAGTTTTCTTGTTCTTTTAAGAAGTTCTCTTCTGTTGTTATAATGATGTTGTGTAATCAAAAAAAAAAAAAAAAAGAGAGAGAGAGAAGGAAGAAGAGTTGACCTGGGCATTTATAATGCAAAGAAAATAACAAAACAAAAAGCAAGAATTTACACGTATTATGTAATTTAATCTCTTCATAACTCTGAGAAGTAGGTCAAGTATTATCCCAGTTTAACTAGCAGATATTAAGAACAACACTCAGAACTGCCTAGTCCAAGATCACATAGTGGTACCCAAGCTGTATCTATTATGGCAACCTTAGTGAGGAAGGGGCCTCAGAAAGCAGATGGTTGATCCTGTCAGTGTCAAAATTCTCTGTACAATATCAAGTGTTTGAAACCCTTTACTGATGGAGAACTTACTACCCAATAAAGCAGCCCATTCCATTATTAAGTCTAATTAAAAAAAAAAATCCTAATAAGCCAATTTTGCCTCCCTGAAGAGTCTACAGAAATGACCCAGCTCTGACCTCTATGGTCACACAGAATAATATAATTCTTCATATAATAGCCCCACTGTAGTCATAAGCAAGTTATATTGCACCCCCGAAAAAAGTTATTTTCAACACGAGGGTTGGTCAAAATATTCCTGTCATTACCAAAAACAAGAAGTTCTCTAACTACTTTATGGGAAACTGTATTTATTGACTCAAATTATATTTACTGTTGTTGTCTTTAGGTGCTGTCGAGGTGGCTCCGATTCACAGCGACTTCACATATAACAGAACAAAGAGTTGCCTGGTCCTGTGCCATCCTCAAAATCTTTGCTAAGTTTGAGCCCATTGTTGCAGCCAGTGTGTCAATGTATTGTATTTACTGAGGGCCTGATAATATGCCAGGCACTGGGGATGCAGCATGAACAAGTCGAACATGCTATGTGTCTTTATACACTGAATAGTCTAACTGGAAAACAGGCATTTGGAGTGTAGAACAAGGGTGCCTACCCTCATCTGGAAGTAGATTCAGGACATCTACCCCGAGGAGGTAACATTTCAACTGAGCCCTGAAGGTGAACAGAGTTGAGAGGGGAGGAATGCCTCATATTGAGGGAAACAGTTGGTGAGAAGTTCTGGGTATTAGAAAGTACAGTGGATTTGCAGAATTGACAAGTCCTGTGAAGCTAGAGGCCACTGTAGCGTGGTTGTTAGGGGCACAGGCCTATATCTGGACCACCAAGATTTGAGTATTTACTCTACTACCCACTTAGCTATGAGACCCCTGACAAGTTACCCATTTTACATACACTTTAGTATCTCTTTCCCTCTTTACATACACCTGTAAAATGAGTAATGTTTTAGGATGTTGTAAGGATTGTTTGAGTTGATACATGTAAAGTGCCTAGAACAATTTCTGGCACACAGATGATGTTCAACCAGTGTTTGCTCTCATAGCTGGAGGGAAAAAGGTGAGAGAGAGAAGCGAGGCTGATGATACAGGCTGGGTCTTTAAGCTTTCCTTGGCCTGGCATTGTAAACAGAGAAGTGAAGATGAGGATTCCGTTTTTGAAAAAGGGCAACCTGGCTGTAGGAGGGAGAAGAGATTGGAGGGGGTAAGAATGGATATGTGGGGATTAGTTAGGAGGTGAATTGCAGGGGCCCAGCACTAGTGGCATAGATTACCTCTCTCCATCCTAAAGAACTTTTATTCTCATCTCCATCCCTTTTCACATTCCTCACTATATCCTCCTCCTTTCACACAGATTCAAAAGTTAGTTAAGAAATGCAATTGCTGAACACATATTGGATTGAGTCATGGCTACTGGGCCCATCTTGGTAATCTCCTGAAGAGGTAATCTCCTGCAGTAACTGTCTGGATTACATGAAGGACCCTGTGAGCATCTTCCATGGCCACGGTTTCTGCCAGGCCTGTATCACCAAGTGCTGTCACTTCCAAAGCCACCAAGGGAGTCCTGTCCATTCTGCAAGAAGCCATTTCAAGAAAAGGACATCAGACCCAACTGGATTTGGGCCAGTCTGGTCTCCAGCCTCCTAACACTTGAGACCAAGAGTGAGAATCCAGCACAGGAAGTTTGGTTTTAAGAGAGGCACAGGGAAAGGGCCTTTTTCTAGTGCTGTGAGGACCAGCAATTCCTGTGTGTGGTTTACAAAGGTCTCATAGAGCATAAATGCCATCAGTGCTGCAGAAGGAGGAAGATGCTAGGTCTTACAGGTAGGCAAAACCCTTTTGCTGTCTTATCTAAACTAGGGACTAACCTTTGGGTGGCTTACTTTATTACTAGCTTCAGCACTATTGCAAAAAAATAAACGACTGCACTCAAAACACAATTCTAAATGCAACAATAGCTTCTCTTTAAGTCCTGGATTATATTGTTGAAACTCACTTGTGAATGCATAGCACTTCACTTCTATAATTCTCAGGCACCAGAGAGCATCACAATGTCACCATCAGCAGGAGATCTAAAGTTCAGTGATACTACAGAATTTCACATACCCTTGGGAATCCCTTTCAGATTTCCGGGTGTGAAGGAAACATCATCCAACACAAAATTGAAAATAGCATCCTTGGATACATCGGACTTTTGTTTGAAATGGGCGATACTATATGGGCAAATAAAAACACTATGTTATTTCTAGAAAAGTGAAACCTGGGTATATTAATTATGTCTTTTTTGAATGAAAATGGCAAAACCCAACTCAAGGCTTGTCCAAATGGGGGTATATTGTCCTATTTAGCAAACTAAAGGAAAAGCAGGGATGCAGGTGAATTTCAACTATAACTAGAACCAGGAGCTTAAATGCAACTAAGACCCCCACCCCCTTGTTTCCTCTTTTCTCTGCATTGGCTCAATTTTTTCAGACCCATTTCCTGTACAAGCTACAATCATAGCCATTTCTAGGTTCATACCTCTCATCTCTGCAAACAAAAAAAGACTGAGGATCACTCTCTCTGATCCCAAAATAGAAAATCTCAGGAAAGAACTTGGAATCCAAAGCCTGAATGCTGGCATGCCTGGTGGTCTGCATAGCTGAGAGATTGGCTAGGGTAAACCTAGCTAACCTAGGTTTAGAGCTGATCCTGGAATTAAACAACCTAGTATATCAGGATAGGTTAGGTTATGCTGCAGTAACAAACAACTCCCATATCTCAGGGGCTTACAACAAAAAGATTTCTTTCTTTATCATGCTCCATGTCTATTGCAGGTTGATGACAGGGACTCTACTCACTGTAGTCACTTGGAAACCTAGGCTCACAGAACAGCTACCATTTTGAATACTGGCTATTCCCATGCCAGTGGGAAAAAA